TTCTAAAATACTGATTTTCATTTTAAAAATCTTTTTAAAATTAAAGTTACTGGTAAAAGAATCATGAGACTGAGCATAACTTATAGGTCTCTGCTTCTTTAAGTTTCTTACTAATCAATACGTTCTCCAATATCTCTGCTGGAGCAAATACTTAATGATCTTATTAATTTAGCCGTGTTGAGATGGTAATGTACAAAGAACTTTGAAACACAGCCTTCTCTAGGAAATCCAGTATGTGAGACAGACAAATGAGAAATTTGTAAGGGTGAGTGACATGCAGGGAACATCTCACTTCAAATAAACATATAGAGAACAAAATAAGATTAGGTTATGGTTTGATGCATTGACATCATCTAGCATATAAAATTGATTAAAGATTTGACTGCTACTGGATCTCATTTTATATTTTGGAATTGTGAGCTGTATTTTCAGGCCCACGCATCTTCGTGGAATGTCACAAACCTTCCAGGACTCAATCCCTTCCTGCTCATGGAAGTAGGAGAGAGCAATCTCCATATATTCTCCTCTCTGGGGAGTCACACAGGCTGGCTGAGGTCCCTAGTGACAGGATGGGGCTGACACAGGGCTCCTGTGTCTCATGGGGCTGGCTGGTTTCCCTTCCTTCCTCCCCCTCAGGTACAATGGAGATAAAAATGCTCCTCTCTCCCTGGGACTCGGACACTGCTTAGCATTTTCCCTTCACCCTTCCCACAGCTTTGTACTAGTCCTTTCATTAAATTCTCTTTAAAAATATGCATTTTGTGGGTGTCAGGTCCAGACAGCTTCAGGGACTCCAATCAAAAATTCAAAGCCAGATGCCAATGACTAAAAAAAGAATACTTTTCATCCATGTATAAAGCTCCCAAATACTTACTTAGAAAAACTCTGAGCAGGAGTTGTGAGTGTAGTCTGGTTTAAAAGAGCAGAAACATTTAAAAAAGTAAACATTTATGTCTAAGGGCACCACTTCTTCTTCATTAATACCATGTCTTTGGGAACCATATAGTACCTTTGAACTGTGCAGAACAAAAATGCTATGTGAATCCAAGGTATTAATATTATATCATTTTTGCCTGGTGATAAAATCCCCAATGACATACAACTACTATAGGATAAAACCATTTCAGCAGGAGAAAATCTTTAGGAAACAGATTCTACTACAAAGAAGTTCACTCTGCATGAAAAGTATAGGTCTGCTGAATTCCAAAAGGTGTTAAGAGGATTAAGTAATGCAAAAAGGAACCTAAAATCATCTGTCCACCAAGAGTGGAATGTTCTGGGTCCCGTAGCAGAGTCAATGACAGCATTAATTATGTGATAGTCACCTTGGAGTCCACCTTGAACACACCTCAATATTTGGTTTCCATTGACATGATTAAAACATTTCTCATAATGCTAAAAATAGTCACCTTTTATGGTTTTTTGTTGACTTGGTTTCTACTTCTATATTAAATTGGCCTTTGGGCAAGTCTGGGTTTAACTTTTCAGTAAAACTAATAAAATAATGAGAGAAAAAGCCATTTTAATGAATACTTACTATGTGCCAAGCCCACGCTAAGCTGTTATATGCATTTCCACGATGTACACATCTTACTCAATATTTATAACAACATATTATTATGAGCATAATTTTAGAGACCCAGTGTGTTTATCTTGTACAAAACGTAGACAATTAAGAGACAATAGAACTGAGGCTTGAATCGACTACAAAGCCAACACTCCTAATTTGTATCCAAAAGTAGGAAATCAGATTCAGCCTGAGAATGAAGAGGTACACAGAACTAATGGGTCCAGCTGGGGGCAATAAAGGGAGGGTTATAACATCAAAAAGCACATGCTGTCCCTAAAGGGACAGCTGCTACTGGACTACAGCTGATCCATCATTTCCACAAAGGATGGAGAGACCATGGAGCCACGTTTCTGGTTTTGCAGAAGTGGACATCCAAAATCTTTAATAGAATCTCAGTTTTTGGATGCAGATTGTAAATCACCAAAAACAGTTCCATTATCCAAGCAAAACTTGCGGACCACAGAGCAATAGTCTGTGCTCTGCTTTAAGCCCTTCCTGCTAAGTGGGACGAAGCAGTTTGGCTCCTGTCTGCAACCCTTCAAAGATCTTCCCATCTCCTTCCCATCTTCCCAGCAAGCACTACCTGAGGGCTGGTGGGAGTTACAGCGAAGGTGTAAGCCCCACACTCTGGGCAGCTCCAGTCCCGGCCAAATGGGACAGTTGGTTACTTAGTCACAGCAGAGTTGGCTTCTGGCATCTGTGAAATTGCAGAAGGTCAAACAACCTGACCTTTAGAATGCGTCTGGGGGCGTTTTGCCACCCTTGCAGGTGCTAATTTGATAAAGCTTTCGTGTCTCCACTTCAAAACTTAGACTGCCTCCAGTTCCAAGGTGTAAGTCTCCCCAGGTCGGCCCCCAAAGCCAGATTCCAGGGAAGAGAGGGCACCGGAAGGCAAGCAGATGTCCCCGAGGTGGCTTCTGGTGGTTATTTGTCAGATCATCCTAATTCGGACCCAAATGGGAGCTCGCTATTACCAGGGATTCGCACAGCTCCAGGTAAACAGCTAATGAGCAGGCTGCCAGTTCCATTTTTATCAAGACCTCTCGGAGACTTACCCGTGCCATTTCATAAAATATGCAGATGGTAGTGCGGGGAGAAGAGCAAAGGCTTTGAAAATGATTCACACAACCTAAAAATGATGTTGAAAAGGGAGGAATTAAATATTCACAAAGTGAGAGAAATTAAGGCATATTAACTGCGAGGATGTGGAAATGAAATGACTAACATGCACAGAGTTGATGAGAGCTGTGTGATTACAGATCTGTCAAAAGTTTCTAATTCTGACGCCGCACAATGTGGAGGTGCTCGCTGGCTGGTGAGGGCAAAAAATTAGGCATGGGACAAGCCACAGGATGCTGACAGATCAGAGTGAGAGGGAGGAAGACACCCCAGTGATTAACACTGGGCTTGCTCGGTGTCATCCTGACCACAAAATGAATGCTAATTAGGGTCGCAGAGCAGACCCCGAGTGGACTGGACCCTTGATGCGGAATGTGGCTATTAAGTCCATAATGAGGAAGGCAAAAGGAAGCCTAAGGCCCGGAGGAGGGGCTGTATCTGGTGAGGTCATCCAATTCTCCACACTGAGGGGATGGAAAGCCAAACTGCGGCCCATCCAAACTGGAATTAGTAGTAATTATTATATAATATGTAATGATGGGATTTAAATGGCTAGCACATTTTCTCTGCTGAGATCATTTAGACATGATTCATACAAATGATTAAATTAATAGATCTTCCTCTTTTCAGACTGCCAGGCAGCTTGAACTAGATTTTTCAACAGACACTGATCCTAGTGAAATCACATGAATAGAGAGATTTACGGAAATTGCAGGGAATTGGTTCAATGTGTAAAAGCATGCTAAGGTTCAGAAAAATTCACAAATTCAACTCAAGGATGTGGACTCAGCTTGTGGCCTTTGGGGTGTGTGTGTGTGTGTGTGTGTGTGTGTGTGTGTGTATTAAATCTACATATTCATAAAAGGGGTTTTAGAAGATGAAAATATGAAATTGAGCTCCTCAAAATAAAGAGCTGTAACAGTGAAACCTAAACAAATCTTCACAGAATAAGTTGCTTTTCTTCACATCAAAAATGCAGCTGGCTTTTAAAGAAAACAATTGGTATATGTAAAAAATACCCTTTAAGTAACAATAAGGAGATGGTGATCCAGAGAAATTTAGCATTTAGTGCCAATAGAAAATAATTGGAGAGCTGATAATGTTTGTACACCAGGTAGTCGTGATTTCAGTGAGCATCTGCAATTTCCAAAACAAAACTTAGACAAGGGATGTAAATTGCTAATAATTAAAAAAAAAAAAAAAAAAAAAAAAAAAAG